ACTTCCATTTCAAAGATGTGAGAGGCAGGAAATGAAGATGACACCTATTTCTGCCCTGAACATTTATTGCTGGATAGCCATGGTTTATGGAGTATCTGGATGATGTTGTGAACAAAACAGTCTCCTCCCACCTTTTCCCATTTCGGCTTAATTTGTTTTTTAAAGCACGTGCAAGCACACACAGCAAAACAGGAGTGCAGCTTCCCCAGATGTAGGGCACCCATTCCACAGCTGTCTTCTCGGCATCTCATGTCCAATGTAGATTGCTGTAGCCATTTGCGGTCTGCCTCTCATCTCTAGCCACGAACTCTTGTCACCTCAAGCTTCCCCTTTGCAAATAGCATTCTGCATGCAGTTTGAAGCAGAACAGTAACAACTGGGTGTTGCTAAATCACTCATGTCTAATAATAATAATAATAATAATAATAATAATATCAGTATTTATACCCCACCCATCTGGCTGGCTTTCCACAGCTACTCTGGGCAGCTCCCAAGAGAACACGAAAAACAGAATAAAACTTAAGACATTAAAAACTTCCCTAAGTGGATGTATTCTAAAAGTCAGATAGTTGTTTATTTCCATTACACCTGATGGGAGGGCGTTCCACAGGGCGGGTGCAACTACAGTGGTACCTCGGGTTACATACACTTCAGGTTACATACACTTCAGGTTACAGACTCCGCTAACCCAGAAATATTGCTTCAGGTTAAGAACTTTGCTTCAGGATGAGAACAGAAATCGTGCTCTGGCGGCGCAGCAGCAGCAGGAGGCCCCATTAGCTAAAGTGGTGCTTCAGGTTAAGAACAGTTTCAGGTTAAGTACAGACCTCCGGAACGAATTAAGTACTTAACCCGAGGTACCACTGTACTGAGAAGGCCTTCTTCCTGGTTCCCTGTAACCTCACTTCTCACAGTGATGGAACCCTATTGCCCAACTTCCGGAACATGCACTCAGAAAACTGGGTCTTCCCAATAGGACGCCTGGTGTAAACTAATGACTTCCCACATGACCTGGGTTGCTGTGTGTAAGAGAAATCTGGTGGACAAGCAGTGGCAAGGACAGGCCCATCTGCTTCATCCAACCAAGTCTCTGTCACACATGCCAGGTCAAGTCCTCCATCCATGATCAAGTCATGGATGGCAGTGGTCTTGTGAATCATTGACCTGGCATTGCACAGCAGCACCTTCAAGTCATGTGGGTCTCCCTTGGTGATTCCAGTATCCTTCCAGTCAAGACCATACCCAGAGGCAGGGATAGTCTTCAAACAATGACTAAACCTGCCTCCTCGGTAATGACATGGTCTGGTCTTAGCGTAACTCCTCCTCCTACACGTGATCACTGAGATCGGGTGTCCCAATACATCCCCCCCTGTGGAACCTGCCCCAGCCATTCTATTGACTGAGGCCCACTCCCAGGCAGCCCTAACCCTCTCCCCTTAAGAACAAAATATAAATTATATAACACACCAGTAAAACAGTAGCAACTAAACAAAAACAAAAACAAAACAAAACAAAAAACTAAAATTAAACTAATCCCCAGCTCCAACTAAACATTTATCCCACCCCCAACATAGAAGTACAGTGGGTTGCCAGTGTATTAAGTAGCTACAGTACTTGGAACAAAGTTTCAGTGTGGTATATTGTGTACTTCACTGAAGTTTCCATCTCTGGATACCCATGAGGTCATGGTTTGGATGGTCCAGTTCCTGTGCTTTATTACTTAGACATAAATATGGGCTGAGGTCACAATCTGAAGGCTACTTTCCTTAAGTAAACAGGCAATCTTTGGACTTAACTGAAACATTACAAGAAAGGAAACGGTATTAAACCTAACAAAAGGGCCCATTTGCAAAGGAGGTGTGACTATTGTATGCTACTGAAGTCTTGCCAGAACAGATCTCTTAAATATGAGATATGAAATTATTTTGGAATTCTCAGATTCCAAAAAAAATGAACTCTCAACCCAGATTGTGGAACATGCCTCCTATTCAAAATGTGAAGGTTTAAAATAGCCATGGTCACTCTAAGCATTGACTCAAACATGTTTTTATTATAAAATTCAAATAAATCACAACTAAAGACCTCAAGAACTTGCTCTTCAACGGAAGGGGAAAGCATATTTATTGGTTTTATTGTTAATTTGTTTAGGAAATATTTATTTTATTTAGCAAAATTGATATACTGTCTGATTATAATAAAACCTCTAAGCAGCTTACAAGAAATATTAAGAGTATCATTGATTTTATCATTCTTGATCCCAGGCTGGGTTACAAGCATATAAATGCAATACATATCAGCATCAGCAACAACAGATACACCATTACTGAAATGAATTAAGGGCTTGCCCACACTGGAGTTTACTGGGAATGTGTAGCTATTTGTGTTCCCATTTAATTTGAATAGTCCACATGATGTTACCCTCAAACAACAGCAACCACAATGCTTCCCCACTGTCAATTCAGGTTTACCCAATATGGGGATAATCTGATAAATTGGGGGAAATTGTGTTCCAAACCATTCCTCTCAGGTTTTCAGATTATTTGTTTTGGTGTTTGAGGAGTGAGTGGATCAACTGTCATTTTCTGATGCGCCTCTTTTTATGCTTTGAGATTTTTTCCTTACATTCAAGATCAATAAATGCTTTTATTTCATTTATTTCATTCCTGGTTGTCCTTGTAAAACATTTCTGGTGCACTCCAGGATGGAGGAATATATATATTTTCATTTGATCCCTGAGATTTGTACAAAACCAGAAAACTCCACAAGCAAACCACATCTGCCTACTCCAGATATATTGGGCAACAATCCAAAAAGTATATGATGGGACTTTACAATTGCTTTAATTTCTTTTCCAGCCTGTTAGTAAGGGCACATTGGTGGGGGTCATTTTAAAAAACAAAAACAAACAAAAACACTCAAGGTGTGCTCATCCATGCCTGATGGGTACTAAATTGGCATAACAGAATCAACAAATTAGAAAGCAGGGACAAAAGGGACTTTCCCCCCTATATATGGGGGTCTGGTCTAATACAAATGAGGAGAAAGTGGATTAAGAGCTAAATAATGGTCATTTGTGGACCATAAAGTGTCATAAAACTAACAACTGCTGTGGATGGATCTATTAAAAGCCTGGAAAAACAAGTATGTTTCTGCTGACACCAAAAGCATTACACTGTAAATGGCCTAAAGGTAAAGGTAAGGGGACCCCTGACCATTAGGTCCAGCCGCAGCCGACTCTGGGGTTGCAGTGCTCATCTCGCTTTATTGGCCAAGGGAGCCGGCGTACAGCTTCCGGGTCATGTGGCCAGCATGACTAAGCCACTTCTGGTGAACCAGAGCAGCACACGGAAATGCTGTTTACCTTCCCGCCGGAGTGGTACCTATTTATCTACTTGCACTTTGACGTGCTTTTGAACTGCTAGGTTGGCAGGAGCAGGGACTGAGCAATGGGAGCTGGCCTAGGTAAAGCCTTAAAAGGCTTGTGTCTGGTATACCTGGAGGATTGCCCTTTTTGTTCCCATGTGGTGGGGAATCTACGTCCGACAGAGAATCCAGTCTCTAATGTATAGCTTAGGGGTCTTTTTTAAGGGATTACAGTAAAGATTCCTAGTAAGAATTCTGAACTGTATTTTTAAAAAAACCAGCAATACCTGCTGTGGGCCTCTTTAGCAAAAATTAAAGACCTGGTTCCTTTGTGGTTACTGTATATGGGTAAATTGTGCACTTGCAAGGGTGTGGGAACTTAACCTAATGAGACAAATGGAAAGGTTCTTGCAGATAGTGTTGTAAAAGGAAGCCAAGCTTTTAAAAAGACATTTCCGGGCCATTGTCAAGTAAATGCCGGTTAAGGTGGTTCCTAAAAGGGAAGTGAGATGGATATAAAACAAGAGAAACATTGAGAAAGACTCTTTAATCAATCCAGTGCATCCCATGGAGAAAAATGCTAGCAAGCAGTCAGGTCCAGCCTTTTGCTT